ATATCTCAGAATGAAAAGATCTATTTTCACTGAATTTGATGTGCCAATCTACAATTTTTATAGTTTTATTACCATACAAGCTGATCATTTTGCATTTATACTAAAACGTAATTATCTATTTGCATAAAATTGGTTAGAGCTACTTTCTATCAAGGATGATCAGTTACACAAATATCTTGATTTAGTTCTAAAACTTAAGTAAGTTGTAGTTTGCTAATCTCGATTGTTATTTATTTACAATAGAAAACTTTCTTATATTCATTTTTTCGCATAATAAAAGAGTTCGTTGCTCTGAACTCGAGAGAATATAATTTATGCTTTGACGTCCATAAGCAATCACGCGAAGTAGAATTATGGCAGTTGCGGGTCAATGCAGCGTCACAAACCATTAAAGAAGTCTCATTTGGAATCGGAGCCGCACTTTTAGTTGAGACTGGAAAAAAATTTTGCAGTTTTGTAAAAAAAACTGGGCACCATAACCAGCAACCGCAAAATACCTCGAGAATTAGTGTTGCTCATGCTGAGAATACTTTAAAATTAAAAGGAACCTTTAAAAATTACGTTTAAAATTATTTAAATGCTGTCAAATTTTGTTTGCAGGTTTAAAGATTTTTTGTTAGCAATTTCTATTTTTATTTGTATTATGCAATAGTAAAATTATAATGAGCTGAATTTAGTCACGTTTAATGTGAAATCAGTCTATTGTTTCATGTGGTTCTAGTCTTGAAATTGTGATCACCGCTAGTAGCGTGCGATTCTTTTACGTTCTACGTCAGTTCCTTGTTTCAGTGTTGATGACAATAATAGGTTATAAACAGGTTTTGTTTTATTGTCGTTCTATTTTGTCTCTCTCGTTTGGTCTCGTTCATATACGTAGTATGTAAATTATGCTGGTGAGAATACTTCTGTCATATTATGGAGGACATTGACATGTTTCATATGATTAAGTACGTACTCCTTTAAGATTAAATATTATAAAAAAATTTTTACTTTATTGTTCAATTCGATCTAAACAGTAAGGTGTTTGCTAAATATAAGCAAAAAGATAATCAAACAACATCTTTTGTTACGTATCAACATATTTATATACCAAAAAGTTTTAATAAACATGTGCAGGTAGACCACTGTAGTGTATTAGAATTTCTTTGGATGTCTAACAGCACTCTAAGATTTAAATTCGAGATTTATCGATGCAATTTAACATCATTCTTATACATGAAAATTATTTAAGTTATCAATATGTTTTACACTTAATATCAACTAATATATATTAATTCATTAATTTATTTGTGTGGCATTTAATACGTTCGAATTTTTGTCCACCGTGGATATATCACACAAATAAAACCTTGTAAATAAATTTCTAATACATCGCTCTTTATGTATCTTTGTGCAACTAGCCTATCATTCCTAAAGTTAAAAGTTCATCGGTACGAAGTTTATCGCGGTCAAGTGTAATATTTGTTTAACTTTCGGTGCATTGCATTAGTACACATGAAATTTTATATCCGACATTCAATATTTATGTATTTACCCGTTATGTCTTCATACCTACTATCACTATTGATATCATGTTTTGCTTTTCAAGCGTATCAAATTCCCTCTTTCACCTCGGTTTAGATAATACTGTAATCAAATACGTTAATGTACTGAACTTTCCATTCTATTCATATTACACAGTCATGTTCATAATGCTATGAAGATTAATGGTAACAATTTTAAAACAATTAATTATAAAATTCATTATATTTAATTTAATGATTAATCAAAAAATAAATAAATTTTTAGCGTTCATATTATATGATTAAGCTCCCTTTAAGATTAATATTCCAATTCCATGAAATGAAGAAGATTTTAATCCATTTAGTTTAAATTTTCTGTTACATTATAAACGCGAACAGACTAATTTTACTTTTGTGACATATTGAATCACAGTACCTAATAAGTTCACTGTCGTAATAATCACCATATTCTTTAAATTGCAAATACTTTCCGTGCAACCAATTTACTCAGTAGCTGAAATATATGGTGTAAAATAAGAACATGAAATTTTATATCCGACATTCAATATTTATGTATTTACCCGTTATGTCTTCATACCTACTATCACTAATATCATGTTTTGAAGATCAAATTCCTGCCACCTCGGTTTAGATAATACTGTAATCAAATACGTTAATGTACTGAACTTTCCATTCTATTCATATTACACAGTCATGTTCATAATGCTAAGAAGGTAGGATTAATCCAAAAACTTTTTTAGCGTTCATATTAGGCTCCCGCAATATTCACCATGAAATGAGTAGATTTTAATCCATTAGTTTAAATTTTCTGTTACATTATAAACGCGAACAGACTAATTTTACTTTTGTAACATATTGAATCACACCGTTCTAATAATCCATCTTTAAATGGGCCGTATGCTTGTTATATGGTGTAAAATAAGTGGTATAAAAAAAAACACGTTGAAGATCACATTGCATATTTATTTTCACGTATGGACTGGCATTGTTTTTTATTGTTAATTACGGATATTATTTTTTAAATATTTATGAGATGAAGAAGGATATTATCCCGATCAGTATCCCGGTCACGCGGTCGAACTTATGGGTAAAAGCTTGTTTTAATAATAATAGTGTCCCTATTATATGACGACACTTTCTCTCTGGGTCACATGCCAGTTCGGGCACGTCCACATTTTATTCGTTTGACCTTTGCAATGGGAATTCGGAACGTTATTTCGTGTGTCGAGTGATGTGCTAAAACTAGATAAGTCAATCTATGTGAATCTTTTAAAAATAATATTTGAGTACTGTGAATGTTTCTAAGTAATTGTAGACTGTGATGGGGCAACTTTCCTCGTGTCTGGTCGAGCGCATCCACGATTGCCAGTAAGTTGGGATGCGCATGTGCAGCCAACTGTGAGTTACTGAGCGGTTCGTCTCGCGCCATCGAATATAATGCTGGCCAACTTTAATTATACTTTTATAAAAATCATATATTTGCTTTAATTCCTCTTTATTGAATAAATCTTTACACAATTACGATCCATCAATAAGATTCTCATTCACAGACGGGACGTATGAAAACAGCTGCGCGAATTAAACCTACTAATTTCATTGCTCATCTAAAACAAATTTGAAAACTAATAAAAAAAGAGTGGAGATCTCATAAATATGTAATTATTTATAGTCCCTAAAATATTAATGTATACTTGTCCAAAATCATACAATAATAATGAAATAGGTACTTCTTGGATAATTTTAGCACTGTATATTAATACATCTGATAGTCTGTTGACAATGTTATCTTTTAAAGTTTTACAATATATCCTTGACATATCTAAGAGCTTAAAGCAATGTACCAATGCATTCAGTGCTTAAAGTCTTGCAAATGAAGCAAACCTAAACAAACTTTTAACACTCTAAACAGTGTGACACAAGCAATACGTATTGATCGTTAACATATTTCACGGTCTAAGTGTGCATCGTTTGTTTTGCGAAATGGCTGACTGTGTGTGCAAATACAATTCAGTAAACGGCATATAAAATCTTTTGTACAAACATTTCTATTGTTTAAATGTTCATTACTGAATATTTAAATATATTTCTTATTTGTATTTAATGTTTGCCTATTAATGCCATGCGACATGAAGGTTATTTTGTCGTCCGGCAAAATTTTGCCAAATCTCATTTAGGAGTCTATGAAAGTCACACAAATATCAACCTTTTATTCTTTTCACTTAAATAAGCAAATGTAGCAAACATATCAAACAAATATTATTTTTAATCTCACGAATTTCATCACAAAAATTCACTTCCCATAAGATCAGAACTTGTCGTTTTACAATTCTCAGTAAATTACAAAATATAAATAACATCGTTTGAAACCATTTTTAATAATACATTTAGCAATTAAAATTTAATAAATTTTAACTACATTTATAATTAGACCTGTTTATTAATTTATTACTTGTGTGGGTACATACTCCGCCTGTTTAGTCTTTTTAAGTCATGTAAAGATTATTAGAATATAATTATAAAAATATTTCTATTATTTTTAAAAAACCAATTTTAGTAAATGCACATATTGTGTATTCAAATAATGAGGAAGTCATTATCACCAAGACCAAATTGGTCATGTTGAACTGAAGCGGATGCATAATTATTCTTTTACGAGTACAGTACTAAAGTGGACGTGATCACGAAGGAGTGTTTATTGAATTGTTATACTAATTTAGCTCTCTTATATATTTAAAATTCATACTAGTAATTTTCTTTAAATTAAAACTAGAAGTAATAATAGAGATAATACAAGAATGTGCCCATGTTTTTATGTACTTACTGTTTGAATTAAAGAAATTATTATATATTATTTATTATTATATATATGAACAGAAATTGACTGGAATTTGCGCATTACAGAACATAAAGTTTTGTTCCGTAATCTGAATGGCTAGTGTGAGTAGCACAAAGATTTATGATTTTGACTATGTTCACGTTTAAATCGTAAGTTTGTATGTTTGAATCTGAGTTTTCAATAATAATTATGTAAATCTTTGCACAATTTATACTAGCCACTTTTAACTTGAAACATGAGATATGAAAGATAAAATTCCATGCAAGTGAAGCTATGGGAAACTGCTAGTCTATTATAGGTTAATCAATCCGCTTTTATCCAGATAATAAACCACGGTAATATTCATTGCAACGGACATAAATGTCAGCGAAATGATATTACGTACTGGTAATGTATAATGGGAACGTTAAGTTCATATGAAGATTTATTATAGGTTCCTACTTGATTAGAATTTCACGCAAGATAAAAAATATAAGTGTGTTTACGACGATAATCACATATATGCTATCAAAGTTGCAGAAGGTATAAGAGAAATAATTTATTAATGCATACCTTTACTTAAACAAGAATTATCTATATGTGTAGATAATATTGATAATTACTACTAATAATTATAATTCAAAAATGTTTATCATATTATACCTATTACATTCCAATTTATATTTTAGATTTAATTTCCATTGACTTGTTAAAATCTTAAAATCTTGCCACTTTTTGCCACCTCGTCCCATTGTAGTATTATAACCTTAATACTTCTGTCCTGCTTTATCATTAAATAAATGCCATATTTTTTTTCTTCTCACACCCTTCATGATTTATGAGGGTACAGCCCATTCTCGAAGTGAGCTCGGTATGTTTCTCGAAAATGCCATTCTCGTCTCATTTTTAAAAAGTCAGCGGATACGTTGTCTCCGGTGTTGTCACCACCACGCCATTGAAACACTCCGACCGATCTTTATGACTTGATTCCGTTTCATTTCGCCGCTTGATTGGGTTTCGACGGAAATGGTATTCTATTAACGGATGGGGGTTCGTGATTTTGGGACAATTTTTGTGTCAGTTTTGAACCGAAGTTGCCCATTACAGTCGTGTTGTGCGCGTGCGCCGGTGCGTGTTAGTTGCGTTCGAAGCACGCTCAAGAATAGCCGTCATTGCGATGGTTCCCGCCTGAAACATTTACTGTCATCCGTAAAGCGTTGGTCATAAACGGCTAGTAACCGGCATCGGCAGTTGCGTAACAGAACCGAAGTCGTCCTTTGATACAATAACGCATATCTTGTTTAACACGTTGTCGAAAAAATACTGGCCTCTCAGTATTCTTTTTGAACGATACCTGTAAACCCGCGCGTGTTAACTTTCGGTAACTATTCGTTCGTTATCATCTGATGCCTGCCCACGCTTGATAAAAAAGATAAGAGTGACTAAATAAGATCTGAAATCAGGTTAATAAAAACTGCATTTGTTTTCTACTATAACTTGGACTTACAATTGGTTTTTTTTTTTTATAAACGTAATGTACGCATGAGTGATGCGCCTGCCTCGATGCAAGTGTTGCGCTGGGCCTATTTTCGTACCACGGAAATAAGAGCGGCAAAAGGAGCAAAAAGCACTCAGCCGGCTGAAAAACTGGAGGACGCAGTGCTGCGTGTATTTCTGTCTGTTGTGGATTAATGTGTGTAGCTCTTTTTCTGTGGAAGTGATTCTATCTGCTGACAGTGTAGAAAAATGAAGAAGAGAACGATATCGAAAATAAAGTCTTTATTTGGATCAAAAAAAGGTAAATATTAAATTCCTAAATTTCTAACACATTCAGATCGAAACATTATTCTGAAATGAAATTAAATTGAAATTTATTTGCTAGATTATTATATCTGCTCTGATTATCTTAGTCACGTTGATGTTTAATAAAAAAAAATACCCATGATGATATCCTATAAAGAATGCCATCTTTTTTGGTTTATAGTAATGTTTATTACTTAGTTTTTGAAAATCAAAATTGTAATACTGGATTTTTAATGTCAATAAATCCATATTTAATTATCCAACAATAAATTAATTAAATCAAATTGAGATCCTAACAAAATATTGGTATTTTCTAATAAACTACAACATTTAAAATTCTAATAAACTTGTGATCGTCGTCTCTAATTGCTATACTTATCGAATTAGAACATTTCGCGGAACGCAATCTCAGTTTTTCATATTTTTTTTATCCGTCAAAGAATTTAAGTGGTAGAATACCTTTTTTACACGCAAGCAGCTGGGAACACGTCTGCTTTTTTTTTTCAATACGAATACTTACGTCAAAAGCACCCATCCCTACTTGTAACAGCTGCTGGAGTTTTAATAATAAGTTCGCCTTCAGTGTGATTTTTAAAAGGGTCCATAAATTCTCGAGAGTGAAATGCATTTTAACGGCCGCACTTTGTATTCATTCTTTCCCTAATAAATATATTAATATGTGTAAAAACACAGTTTATGAGTTAAAAATTACAATTTTCATATTATTTGTATATACAAATATTCAAACTTTTAGATTACAACATGATTTGTAATTTGACATTGATTAGATTTGGTAATAGATATAATGTACTTACCTAAAAACATAACGATTGTAGCAATGTTATTTATTTAAATTTATTTATTAATAATACATAGTACAAAAGTCGTGGTAAATTTTCCATATTATCTACTCAGACTCCCTACAAACTTGTCATTAACTATAATTAAATTTTTAATTTATACTAGTAATTTAATTTCGATTTTAATAATCTATATAAAACATTTTTCTATGACTAAGATGATAAATGCGAAAGGGTATTGATTGGTGTTTGCTAGTGAACTTATTTCTATGTAATTTTGCAGAAAGACCGTAATTCAATAATTTACGAGTATATGCCTAATGTAACAGGAAACAATTTTAAGTCTTCATTTAATTTTATTAATAATATAGATACATTTCTATATGAATGGGTTCTTACAAATTCTAATAATAATTACCTTTATAATTTTTTATTGGGACTTACTTGTGTATTAATATCACAATTTTCTTTAAACATAACTTAGATGTTGTCAAAACTATTATGTTCAATGAATACAAATTACTTTGAAATTAACCTGTTCGGTTAATTAATAATTCAACGTGCGTTATCGTAAATTTATGACCCTGCTTGGACCTCACCAAATTGTATAGATGTTTTTAAAATGAAAAATATCTTTATTTAGAAGTATCGAATATGGGAACACCCATTTTATTAAGGAACAATATTATTCAAAAAATGTGTACACCACAGGTGTCGTAAAAATTAAAACAATACAAGAGAATTTTCAACATAAAAATAAACCCTATTATCTTTCTTTTTAATGAACATGGTAACCCTACTTGCGCTATCAGCATACGCTGTCTGGGCACCAGTAAGAGATTATAGGTGAGGATGAAATAGGACAGATCAACTTACTATAGCTAACTGACTTACTTACATTCCCAACTATCATATCTAACTGGTGCCCGCCAGTGTATACCGATTGCGCAGATGGAATTACCATTCCATTCTCATTCACTATTTGGTAGTATAAATTAGCACAGAATACTTAATAGAACTCAAAATAAAATTCCTATCTCATGGGAAGGGGCACATGTCGTGCATTAGCATTGGTTATTAGGACAATAATGATTAAATTTAAATAATTAAAATATTCCTAAATAACACCTTGCTATTAATAAATTACGTTCCTTAAAATATCAATAAATTGAAATTCATGGGATAAGGTTTTCTGGACCAACAATTCACATCAATCTCTTATGATTTAGAATTTAAACACAAATGAAGTTTATAATTATAATCCCAGACTGATAAAATATACCTATAACTGAGCCACCAAGTTACACTCGTAGAATCATTTGAAGCTATGTTGACTGCGATAACTCAAAATGCTGTATTTACATTTCCATAAAGGCTAAGAAGCATAACACGTCAACTTAGCATAAAACGTAGCTGATAAGCACGTGGCAAGAGTTCTTTAGGTACAGACGTACAGTGCTGAGCAGAAAACGTAACGTTTATTGTTTTGAGTTCAGTGTCCAAGATAACGCTCTCAAAGTTACATGTTTTATTTGTGTTTTGGTGCTAGTTTCAGTTTGTTCTTAGCATTTAAACAATGCTTTGCGGTCTAAGTTTTCGGCGCAAGAAAGGTGAGATGTTTTGATAATTTCAAATACGACCTATAAATTACCTAGCAACAATATATACTCGTGCGTACCTTGCTTATACGAGTATGCTGTAACATCTTATTTATTTCTTTATTAAGTTTTATCCCATGACTTCGTTCGCGTAACCGGAATATATTGATTGACAGCGATAAACAGTTAGCCTATATCCTTCTCCATCTCTTAAAAAATATAATGCTTCATATGCTACTTTTAACATATAGGTAAACTGAAAATCTCTAGAATGATCTATCTATTATATCGTCTAAACTGTATTTCTACAATTGCAAAAACTTTATCTGTTTAGAATGACTACTAAAGCCGCGGAAGTCAAGGACAGTATAATTATATTTAGTCGATACAACACAGCTTGAAAATAAACAAGAATATCATTGAATAGGTAAAATTTCATAAAATATGAAGATTATTTTTACTTTGTCTGTATCGAATCCTGAAAGATGGAATAAAATGTTTTTGTAATGCTTTCTCCGCTGAATGAATGCATAATAATCATACTATAAAACAATGTGAAAGTAAGTTTATCGATTTGTCTGTCTGCTTAGAATTCAAATCTAAATGGTTAAAAATATTTTCTCATAGTCTTCCATCTTATAATTTGAATGGTATGGATACATTAAACAATGCATTGACAATTACTTTTTAATTTACTATAAAATATAATATTTATACTGCGCGAAAATTTAACGAATGGTAGAAAAGGTGGTCAGTAACTATATATTAGATATAAAATAATTTGTATTTAAAATAAAATCTCTGGGTACACACATTTTATTTTGAATCCTTGAATATTAAAAATGGCTTCATGTAATTTTTTAAGTCTCTATATATTTTTGTGTTGTATCTGATGGCATGTACATGATTAATTGTGTCTCAACATCAATCAACTGATGTCAGTTCGCTAGACATATCAGTTTTGCACAATATCATAATCATCAACTCTGTTGACATTTAAAGCTGTTCCGTCGTGAGGCTCACGTTGTTTCCGTGGGAATTTTCTATACATGCGTTTCTCCACTTTAATGGTTAGATTTTTATCCCCGACTGGCTGTTTTCCGTGGCTTCGGAGCACTTTATCTCCCCTTCCCGTGGGAAATTGCAAAAAAACTCTTTCTGTTTAAATCCTTACTAAAACTCACATTTCTAGTTCCTGTAGTTTTACTTGTGCGTTAATTCTCTTTATGTCAATAAGTTAGAAGTTTAGCTTCTTTTCTATATAGATCATAATGTCCTATATATGTTCTTAATTGTTTATTCAGAACATATTTATTGTAAATAATAAAGTCTCTATTCTATTTACTTTTATTACAATAATAAAATACCTATATTTTGAAAGAGATCCTTAACTAGGTAAAGTTACCATTACTTAGAAACTATAATATTATCATAATGATTAAAACTTTTCATTAATAATTCATTTATTATCTAATTATAATTTGTCAGTTACTACTGTTATTTTTCGATAAAATTTAAATGAATTGACATAAATAATGGTTATCATTATTTAAAATAAGGCTATTGTTATAAGAGCACATAATAACACTTGCGTAAAGAATTAACATTCAATGAAGTTGAATTGCTAAAAGTGAAAATTATGACTCGACAACAGCACACTAATGTCTGTTTCAAGAATTGAAATTATAATCACAAAAGGCGATTGTGAAGCAGAGAATATTTGTTGCGCTTGTATAGCGCGTTGGCATTCAAGAAGACATTTGAGATCGCCGTATTAATTTTCACAGGCGTCTTGTAATACGGAATCGACCGATGGAATACGGCGAGCGCGGGGAGATAGAACAGATTTCTATTTGTTTACAGTCTTGCACCAACACTGCAAGCCTTTGGAAATATGATTCATTTTACTTTCTCTGACTATGCACTATTTTAAAATATAAAGCTACGTACCTTGGGTAATAAACAGATCATGTTATTGATTAGGTACAAAATTACACTGTGCTATCATACCATTTTATGTACATTCTAACCATGTAACAAAATATGAATTTTATATCAAAGAAAATTGGAATTAGGTAACAAAAATAGGATCGCGCTAAACAAATGCAAGCCAATTATTTATATTATGTATATTATAATAAGAATATTTAAGGTCCAAAAGTTACTTGTTCACTCGTATATTTTAGCTTGCTCCAAACCTGCTTAATTTTTTTTAATAATGGTAAAATTACCATCAAGTCACATTAAACTACTATCATGTATTGTATGCTTGTAATTTATAATATCAATAGATATAACAAAACTTAAAATTATAGTAAACCTCATTGCCTTATCTCGTATCTCGCGCTTGTCCACTTTTGTAATGCGTTTTTACTAAATTTGTACGTATTCACTCTAAAAAATAAATAACTTCGATGTTGACCTTTGTTTACGTAAGAGGCGCGAACAAGCTGAGTAAATTCTCGGCCATATTCTGTATGTTTGCATAGGTTAGTTCTCACGGACATGTTCTAAAAACATCTTGCTTCCTATGAAAGTGACATTGACGAATAAGATTTGATCACGATGTTACTTAATACAAAATTAAACAACTTTCT